GGGTTCTGAGTGAGTATTTTCCAGGAGGCTTGTTGAACAGCTGTAACTGGCAATCGGAGGCCAGGTCTGGACAGGAGAGTTAAAGTCGAAGAACAAATGGTAGCAATGGTGCTGGTGACCAGTGTCAGGAGCACCCTCCCGTCCAAGTTATGTTCACGAACTGTGGGGCCAGTGTAATTACTAGAGTAATTTTATTTGTTCGGGAAATCATCACAATTAACTTGCATTATTTAATCATGTCTCAAATAGATGGGGGAGCAAGAGGTCAGAAATGCGTCCTGAGCCACATTCAGGTCATGGTGGTATTCTAAATTGCCCAGGGTTCATCTGTATGCTTGGAGTGCGATCGAAGTTCAGAAATGAGTGGAGGACCAACACACACAGACCTTTAGTCAAAAGCCTGTAGCTCAGGGAGCCTTAACCGGTGGGGAGGTAATGCCAGACCATTAGGATTAGGACAAAGGTCACACGGGAAACTGTCAATCAAGCAGGCTGCTGCTGGAAGAACCAAAGACTATTCCCACCAAATGCGGTTGCCGTGGCTACTAAATACCTTTAGTCCAGGAAAGGAGCATATTGCTGAGGTTGCCTCCTCTTTCATTCAGCAAACAGACACCTCCAGGCGCAGTGTCGGTGGTCATGCCCTGCTCGCCGAACCTGTCATTCTGCAGGACAGCTGGGTGTGTGAGCACAGAGCTGGGCTGGTCAGCACACCCGGCGGTCCTCTGGAGAAACGGTGTCGACAGCAGTGTCCCTTGGGAGATTATTGCCACAGAGTGACCTTACCTTCATCCAAAGTACTTCTTGGATTCCATGATCAGGACGGCCTAGTGGTTATGGATGGGAACAATCTGAACAGACACAAGAGGTGGCTGGCACAGCCCCACAGAAAATCCACAAGGACCCGGGAACGAGCTGTGAAGAGCCGGGCTATCCCAAGGCAGCCCTCCCTGCTGGTCCTGAGCGCCTGCCTCCGTGTCGCTGTGGGATCGATATTACTCATTCCATGTGCACCAGGGAGCAAAAGCTCCCGGGGTTATGCAATCTATGCCCACTTAGAGGAAAATAAAAACTGGAATGACTCCTAGCCCTGGTTTCTACGATTAGATAACACTCCTTTGCTCCTTGTCCGAGTTATCCAAGCACTGAGTCCAGACTCTTGTTTTATTTTTCTAAGAGTTGCTTGTTGCACAGAATTGAGCCACTGCTTTCCTGACTACACAGATCACTGCTCTCCCCCAGTTCTATGTCACAGGCAGAGACCAAGGCAGCAAGGATGTTGAATAGTTTGTCAAAGGCCACCCCAAAGGATTTTCCTAGATAGTATTGTTAGCCTTGTGCAACGCTTTTACAACAGGGCGGGGGGGGGGCATATTTAAAAATGTCTTTTCAGGGGTATAGTGAATTGAGATCAATGGACAGAAGTTAAAGGAATATGAATAAACTCTCTAACAACTAGGTCCTCGTTTTCCTATCTGCAAAATGTCTATGGTAATTCTCTTAGGGTATTTTCATAGAAAGGAGGTAAGATAATATGAATGACCTAATATGATGTCTGGCATTTCATTATTACCAGCCTAGACAGATGGCGTTCCAAATGGAAACATCTTTCCTGAGAGGCACTGTCCTAAACCACCTCTGATGAAGGTCCAGGGATCTTTTGTTTGCTTCTGTATTTTTAATTCTCAATTCATGAACTTTTGTAATGTTCAGTGTAAAAGGGATTACTAAAGCAGTAAAATTAACAAAGACAGACAAAATATAACCAGGATCAAACACATGCCCCCCTTACACAGGCCTTGGCAATCTTCTCCAGGCCCTCTTACTCCTCTTAGAGATGGGGAACAGAGTGACGTGCTCAGGGTCCCAGTGGCAGTGCCAGGGTGGGACTCGAGTTGTACTCCTAACATGGGCAAGCTGGTTCCCAGGACTGCCCACAGCCCTGGCCCACCTCTATTACTCACCCTTCCATCAACCAGGACAGAGCCACACAGCAAGGGGAGGCAAATGAGGCACTTGTCCTGGGTATAAAATTGAAGGGAACACAAGAAAACTCAGCTATCAAGATAAATACTATCTCAGTATAATATTCCTTTTTTTAAAATTTTTGTTTTATTGCTTAAACCGTTTAAAGTATTACAATATTCCTTTTTAAAAAATATCTTTTATTGATTTCAGAGAGGAAGGGATAGACAGAAACATCAATGATGAGAGAGAATCATCCATCGGCTGCCTCCCCACACTGTGGATTAAGCCCACAACTTGGGCACTTGCTCCAACCAGAAATCAAACTATGATCTCCTGGTTTGACTGTGATCTCCTGGTTCATGCGTCGATGCCCAACCATTGAGCCACGCCGACCGGGCTCAGTGTAACTTTTCTTATAGGCAAGGTTATGCTGTAATAAATAATTGTCAAAATCTCAGTGGTGTAACCCAACCCAAGTACAATGTGGTAGGAGTTGCCCTCCTCTCTCTCACTGAATGCCATGTGGAGCACATGGCCTCCAAGATCACGGCAGCAGCGGAAAGGGAAAGGAGGAGACATACCAATTCTTCATTGCTTGACCCAGAAGTAATAACACACAGAGTCTATTCACATCTCATTGGCCAGAATTAATTGCATATTCCTATCCTCACTGCCAGGCACTGAAGAGTGGAGGGGGTCACATAGGTATTTGGTGACCACTAAGAAAAACAAATATTTATACATAAACTTTATTTCACACTCTCCCAAATCATATTTTTTTCCATAAAGACGGGATCAGTAACAATGCTGAGCTGAGCACTGTTGGAACCTGAGGCAAAAAACAACATCAGCAATGCAGTCTTTAATTAAAATGTTGACGTTTTGTCAGGGTAGATTTTATTGCATTATGTTTGAGAAGGAAGTCACAGGTCAGGGCATTCCAAAACAATGGTGGGGGTCATTATATTGACACTGTTGCTTGGGCATGCCATGTTTAGTTACTGGCTAAAATAACTGTGGGTTGTGAGGTGGAGGTGAAGATGGGGTTCACAGGGAACCCCAAAGCAAGACACTGTGTTCCTCCCTTGTAAGACTCCATTGGTTGGAAGATCTATGATCCATCTATTAATCTCTTTCAGAAAGAAAAAGTGGCTGGTAAGCTTCTTTTGGTACCATCTATAAGAAACACCCGTATTTCAAAAATATTAACATGTAGAACCAAAAAAAAAAAAGACTCTAAAAATGCAGGCAATTTGGTAAAATGTTTTGATGTAGGATTTCCAGGCACTAAAATCGCACCCCAACAAAATAAACTCAGAGAACAAATTAGTTTTATTAATGAATGCGTGGGCACATTTACACAAGTCAGTTGACAAAAGTACGTACTGTATTATAACAACTGCCAGGCCCACCCTTCCACCAGGCCTGACAGGCCAGGCAAGGGTGTAGCAGGGAAAGTAAAACAGTGGCTGCCTCAGCCCACCCCCAGGGGACCCTTCCTAGCCGCTCCTCCTGGATTCCCTGTGACCTGTGCCATCCTACCTCTCCCTCTTCCCTTTCAAAACCAGTTCTCATCCATTGGTGTGATACGCACACCTGGCAAATCACCACTGTGACCAGGATTAAACTTCTAAGCTAAAGCCATGAAACTTAAACGACAGTTTGGGGAGTAATCGTGAGTGGTGAAGGTGGTTCTGTCCCTCCTTTAAGCCCCACGCACAGGCTAAAGGCCAGCCCCTTTCTACTCCTAAGCAGGGCTTCCAGCATCTAATGGAATAATGTGGTCTCTGTCTCTCCCCTGCGGACGCCCCCGCCACACACACACACACACACACACACACACACACCCCCCCAACACACAGGCATCAGAAAAAAGTCAGAGCAAGAAATTCCACAGCGATGGGGTCCACACGGCCACCTGGTTCTGGCACCCAGACGCGCCCCTCTCCAGAGCATCGGACTTCGTCACCAGCCTTTGCTCAGGAGCCGGCCCATTTCCCAGTCTGGCTTCGCGCTGGTTTGGAGCGCAGGACAGGAGGACAAATCCACCCGAAACCCCCCTGCGAACCAAGGAGCCACCCAGGCTGTAGGGGATTCTACACAAGACGATGGGACCTGGGCTGGGAAGGGAAGCTGGAAAGATGGCTGGAACGGGGTGTTTCTGGCGGGGGGAGCCACCTGAGGGGTGTCCCTCACTGGTCGCCCTGGCGTTCCCAAAACGACCTGTGTCGCGTTTTCTCTGGATGGCCTCCCCGCCTTACTGATTGCGGGGCGCAGCAGAGCTGACGTCAGCATTCAGGGCGCTCGAGTGACTTTGGGGGCCACCGTCCTCAGCACCCCCTCGGCCCTCGGCAAGGCTGGCAGAATGGAGAGGCGGTGGCTCTCCAAGACCGTGGCGGCGCGTGGAGACCTCTCCGCACCCACTTCTTGCCGCAGCCTGAGGACCCCGCGTTTCCTGGGCCACCGGGTTGCGGTAGCACCGGGACACTCACCGCGGACCCACTGCGTAACTCCCGGTAACCCCGAAAGAGCAGGGGGGGCAGTCAGCTGTGGAAAGCGCAGCCCCGGCAACCCCACCGCCCCCCGCGCGTTCCGCCCGCCAACCACGGCCTCCGCG